AATATTTTGAAAAAAGTTTGTTTGTGTCTTGTGTGCCTGACAAAAGCGAGATTGAAATAGGCTACTATCGGTGTTTAAATAAATATGCATTCATATGCGCGTGCACGAAATGAAACTCTTTCCAGCAGCAACCTCTGTGGGGACAAGTCCAGACTAATTTTCAGTCTCATTTCAAAACAAGACAATGATTGTCTATAGTCTCTTTGTCAAGGTTACAACTCTGGACTAATGCAAGATGGAAAGCAATGGACTGACACTGACTATTGATTAAATATTTAATTTAAAATGTTAATTAGCTGGGCATGTGGATGCACATCGCTCAGTAAAAAATAGCCATTATGTATTCAGCCAAATCCTAGTTTACATAGTAGACACAACTCAAGACAATGATGGAGATGAACGCTACACCTTCCTATCAACACAACAACAACACAACAGAAGGCTCTGGAAAAAATATTTGTGAAATGTGATCTCTTTTCCTGGTTCCTGTCAGAACACGTGCTGCAGCATTCTGGATCAGCTGAAGAGTCTTAATGGACTTTTTCGAGCAGCCTGATAATAAGGAATTGCAGTAATCCAGCCTAGAAGTAACAAATGCATGGACTAGTTTTGCATCATTTTTAGGCAGGATGTTCCTGATTTTCGCAATATTACGTAGGTGAAAAAAGGCGGTCTTTGAAATTTGCTTAATGTGAGACTTAAACGACATGTCCTGATCAAAGATAACTACAAGATTCCTCACGGTAGTGCTGGAGGCCAGGGCGATGCCATCAAGGGAAACTATATCTTTAGATAATGCATCACGGAGGTGCTTGGGCCTCAGAACAAAAACTTCAGTTTTATCTGAGTTTAACATTAGAAAATTACAGGTCATCCAGGTTTTAACATCCTGAAGGCACATTTGAAGTTTAGCTAACTGATGAACTTCATCTGGCTTGATCGATAGATATTACTGAGTATCATCTGCATAACGATGAAAGTTTATGGAGTGTTTCCTGAAAATATTGCCTAAAGGAAGCATATATAAAGTGAAGAGGATTGGTCCGAGCCCAGATCCTTGTGGAACTCCATGACTAACTTTGGCGCGCATGGAGGACTCACCGTTAACATGTACAAACTGAAATCAATCTGATAAATAGGACTTAAACCAGCTTAGAGCAGTTCCTTTAATGCCAATGAAATGTTCCAGTCTCTGTAATAGGATCTGATGGTCAATGGTATCAAATGCAGCACTAAGATCTAATAAAACCAGTACAGTGACAAATCCTTTGTCTGATGCAATGAGGAGGTCATTAGTAATTTTCACCAGTGCTGTCTCTGAGAGGACCTTCAGCATAATGTGCACGAAAGGTATTACAATGATGGGTCCAGTAGTATGAGAGATCAGCTGTGGACAGATACACACACCCACACATACAACAAAATGCATGATCCCTCCTGCTGGAGATAATAAAAAGTTAAAGAAATAGGGACATGATACTGTATTGTGTATGCAACAGTAAAGTGGTGCCAATGTTGTTTGTGGAAATGCCTTTTTCTTGCTCAAACGTATGAATTAGCAGCTGCAGTGGAAAAACAGTTATAGGCCTATTTCAAAGTTTCAGAAGGCAGTGACTGAGAGGAGGATGAGAGGGAAGCTGAAAACCATCATGGACAACCACTCGCATCCTCTATATAATCTTCCTATATGCTGAGCTGAGGCAGCTCAGGAGCACCTTCAGCCACAGAGTCATTCAGCCCCTAGCCTCAAAATGCTTTGGAGGCTCATTTGTGCCATCAGGCTCCACAACACCACAGCACCAAACTGAGAGACTATTCTTGATTTCATTTAATTTCAGACATTTATCTGGTTATAAATGGTTGTAAATAATTATTATTGATTGTATAGTGTAGATAGTGTGTTGATACTTCTATAATACTGTATCTGTTCTTTTATATTCCTTTGTGCTGTTATGTCGACCGAAATTTCCCCTACGGGGAATTAATAAAGTTATATTTTATCTTATCTTAAGAAGTCTGATTAAGAGTACAAAACAGGATGCTGACAGGAAAGAATATATAGATAACCTAGACTTGTGCAATTGTACAAACACAGATATTAATTAAAATAATATGTCAGAAAAATATATATTCTCACTTCATCTCGTTTGTTGTGCCTAAGACAGAACAATAAAACAGATGATTATTCAATTCCAAAGACTGATACACAAGTGTCAATATCATAAGGAGCAAAATACATATGGTAATGACTCCTACGGGATTATTAAAGTACCCTAGTCTACATATTATTTAAAATTATCTGCGTCCACATTGGCCTATTTCAGAATTTCAGATAAATTAAGAGTAGAAAACAGCATGTTGACAGGAAGGAGCACACTATAACATAGACAATTGCCCTTATATTAATATTAATTAAAATAATATGAATATAATATGTGAAAATAATATATGCTCTCTCTTCAGATCTCATTTGCTTGCAGGGATGGATTTACAGAGGCAAGTACAAGGCAAGTGGCAAGCAGTGAGCTGCCTGCTATTTCATAAAACTGCAAACTCATTACATTATTGACAAATGCTGCTGTTACTTTATTGTACATCAAAATATGTAACCTTCTTGTCCAGATGTTGATTCAGTCAACCCAAAGCAACAATACGGACAATGTTGTAGCTGTTGATTCAAACAATATAGTGCAGCAGACCTTCTGTGATGTACTATAATGTAAAATGTATTATATCATAGGCCTATACATATTCATATAATAGGCCTGCATGTAGATATATTTGCTTATGTATTATGTAGCTTAATCTATCATGAAGACTCTTTTTGTCTTAGAAAATCTGAAAAGTTTTTTTATTAAAGTGTATACAAGAGATTCAAAAGACTTCAAGGAAAAAAACTGTGCTTGTTGCGTGTGGCTCCGCCTCGACATGGACGTTAACATCACATTACTACCCACAGATTAGCCTAAATTAAGTCAGTTTGACTTCTGCTACAGATTCATCTTCAACCGACTGGAGAGCTTTTAGAAAGGTGCGTTGTTATTCTTAGAATTTGATATTTTGTGCGAGAGGAATTAAACCAGTCAAAATATGACAACAAAAATGAATACTTTGGGATAATCAAAAGATTTGCTTGACTGGTTCTGTTTCAACCAATCACTGGAGCGCGTATGGGCCAGAGAGTCAGAGCAGCAAGGTTAATTTATCAACAAGGACTTGGAAGATCAATAGGTTTGGTGTTTATTGCTTCACCCAGACCAACCAGCTTCTCATACAGAATGTAGTGGTGATCATACACCGACAGAGGTGGGTACTATGAGTTACATTGACTCCGTAGCCTAATCAAGTAACTTTTTGAGTAAATTGTAGGCTACTTGTCAGAGTAGTTTTAATGCATCAAACTTTTACCATAACCTGAGTAGAGTTTTAGTGAAAACTCATTACTTTTGCTCCATTACAAATGGATACACTCATTGTGCTACTTTTATTTATTTATTATTTTATGCATTGTGATCTGTTAAGAGTTAGGTGGTCAGCTGGTCCCAAGTCTGCTAATGCTTTGTTACCCTCAGAGCAGAATAATGGCTAAAGCTACAGCATATGGCTTTGAAATAGCCTAGTGCTAATATTTACAGGTGAAAATTGGTTGTGAAGTCAGCAGCCTTTATCAGAGAACCCTGCTGACACTAAGCTGACAGAGACTAGTGTATGTTGTGTTAATGCCAATATGTAGCACACAGCACACAGTAGCACACAGTATATTATGCTTCAAAACGTCTACTCCTGCTTTCTGCCATGATGTAAATATTCAAGCTAACAGTGTAGAGCAGTGTGCATTTAACTAGTCATACTCATTGGGGAAGCCTGATGAAGACAAATTATGCACACACAAAAATTGACAAACTACTTTGATTTTGCGTGGATGTGACTGATAACGTTTCAACCACAGATGATCTTCTTAAGGTAAAAATAAAGAAGTGAACACACAATTACGAAACATCACAGCATTATGTCCTAATTTGATTTGTTTGCCAAATCATAATTTATTGTAGGAGACATCAAAAAATGATTTGTAATTTAAACAATCTTTCATTTTTGGTGCACTTAACAGAATGAAATATTAATGTAGTATGTGGTAATCACTCTTGAGCACTACAGAGTTGGAATATTGTCCTGGTGTAAATTTGGCAGGTTGTCACAATCCTGTCCTGAGTTTCTCTGTGTGCTGTACTTCTGTTGAGTGTAGTTCTTTGAGAGTTTATTTATTGGTCAGTTCAGTGTCTGTTATTTAGTCTGTATTTTGATTCCATGTCTTAGTTCCTAGTTCTGTGTCTCAGTTCATGTCTTAGTGTTTACTCCTGGGCCCTGTTTCAGAAAGCAGGTTCAACAAACTCTGAGTGTAAACCTGAACTCTGGGTTGAAGAACTCTGAGTTTTCCGTTTCAGAAAGGCCGATCAGAATAAGTTCAATCAACTCTGAGTATGTTGAGCCTGATGGAAGCGTGGGGATGAAAAAAAGCCTTCATCAATGGAGCTCATTCATCATTTACCAGACTGGAATTTCCTTAATGATTGATAAAGTGCAGGAATTCTCCTCCAGCCTGTTATTCATTTTAAATAGAGTTTTCACACTTCAGAGTTTTCACTAAACCCGCTTTCTGAAACAGGGCCCTGGTCTGTGTACTGCTGTGTTCTTTTCTTAGTTCAGTCTGTTTTCCCTGTTATGTTTGTAGTCTATCTGTTTGATTAGTTTTTAGTCTTTTTTGTGTTCCAGTTTATTTCTACTCTTGTGTCAGTTGCCAGTGCCTTGTGTTCAGTAACCTGTGTTGTCTGTTCACCCAGTAATTCCTCTGCATGCCTGTCATTCTGTTTTCCCCTGCTGTCTCTTTGCCTGCCTATCTCATTAGTCCTGATCCTTGTCACCTGTGTTGCTCCCGCCTGCTCGTTAGTCCCTGGTGTATATATGTTTGGTCTTTCTGCTCAGTTCCTGTTCGGTTGTTGTGCTGTCTCTTGTCATGTGTAGTTTTGCTCTGTTATGCCCTGTGCCGCCCTGCGCGTCCTGGAACTGTACCCTATTGGATTATTTCTGTTGGATAACACTGTTCTTTTGGATTATTCACCTTGCTTTCTTTGGATTCAGCCACTCTACTTGTAAGTGTGCTCGCTCTTGGTTTTACCTTTGATAAATATCATTGAACTGAACCTGTCAGCCTCGTGTCCTGCATTTGGGTCCAAAACCTTCAACCTCTTTGTGTAGTGCAGACATATTGCAACAAAATATATAAATTGACAATATAAAAATATACAACAAGGATTTAACAATTAACAAATGTGTGCAATATGCCAGGTTTGTGCATGATATGAAATGAAATGGTGTTTACATGAGTTACGTGATCATTTCAGTATTCTAAGTAAGTATGGAAACGGGCACATTCAGAATATGCAGAGAAATAAATGATTTTTTATCACTACCTGTTTTTAAAGAATATCATATGGTGTGGCATCTATTTTTGCTTCTTTTGTCGTATTGTACCCTGGTATTGGGGTAGGCTGTAACAAGGGAACACAATGCATTTGACATCAACTCACAAGGTCTGTGATATTCTTGTAGAGGGTTGAATTGGTGCCATTTGTAGTGAACAAATGTGGGTACTTTGTATAAAAGTTTGAGAAGTCCAGCTAAAAAATTCAGCGAGGTATAGTTGCTGAAGCAAAAAGTGTTACAACCATACCCGGTCTCCCCTATTGACAAATGCTGCAGTGAGCTTCTTGTAACATGAAATATTAAAATTAAAATATGTAACCTACATGTCCAAATAGTGATTCAGTCAACCCAAAGACAAAGCTGACAACACTGACAATTTTAGAAGTGATGCTTCGAAGACGAACAGGCCTACTATAATAAAGGAGACACAAGAATACACAGCTTGAATACACAAGACTCAAACCTGGTGGCAAAACACACAAAAAGTGGAAGTTACACAAGACACATAAGGAAGGACTCTTTCAACATTAAACAGGAAATAACTACATAAAACCCAAAACCATGACAGATTCATCATCAATTGACTACGGCGCTTTGATAAAGGTACGTCCTAATTAGAACTTCATATTTTGTTCAAGATGAATCCATCAAGGCATGGCACTGTCCTCAGTTTTGTAGAATAATATAGAAACAAAATAACAAGTCAATAGACAGGACGGACAGACGGTTATTAAGAATGGTCTCAAAGTTAAATGAGGAGTAACATTTTAGGCAATATCTGCAGATTATTCCATGAGACCACGGCGCTAACAGCAAAGGCAGTTTTTAATAGACTAGTTCTGGTACTGGGCTCCTGGAGCATCAACCAATACCTGGAGTGGGTTCAGTATGGGCCAGAAAGCCAGAGCAGCAAGGATGAGATGTATCAACAAGGACTTGGTAGATAAATAAGTTCCAGTGTTTGGTGCTTCACTCAGACAGGGAAGGCCAACCAGCTTCTCATACAGGATGTCAGTGAAACCAGTGATGAACCTGAGTGCAGAATGGTAAATTGGGCAGCAACATAATTTCTGACATCCCCAAAGCCCAGAAGTGAAGAAAATTGGGCATTCCTCTTTCTACAGCTCAGAAGCCGATCTTTAGTTAATAGACAGCAGTTTATTTAAATTAGTAAATTGTTAATTTCTGAAAATTGGGCCTATACAAGCAGTACTTGCAGCACAGAAGCCATGTACTTGCAGAATTATTACATCATGACTTTTTTTATAACTTTCATTGTTTTTTAATAAGCTTTTGACCAAGAAAGTATTCACTAGTACAGAAAGTATTTGATTCAGTACAGTTTGACGATAATGTGTTTAAGATTAGTTCATAAATCTTATTATCTTGATTAAGTAATAGCTGAACATTGATAAGCGCATCCTGAAGTGCAATAAAAAAGAGACAGACTCAGCAACAATAATGAAGTCATAGAAGTAGCAATGTGAACCGTCAGCAGTGGAACTTGCCACAACTTTAAAGTTTCAGTCGTATCTTCATAGGTTATATACTGTAGATACTGTGTATGTCCTGCATCATTCTGTCATTACGGACTGTTATTGACATCTATAAAGGTAAAATAGAAAAAGGTAAAATGTTCATATTGTTTCTTCATGTTGCCATTGCAGAACTCAAGACAATGATGGAGATGAACGGTACTTCTTCCTTTCACGTCAACGCAACAGAAGGCTCTGGAAAAAATATTTCAAATAATACTGACAAGTATGCTGACATAAGACAGTCTCTCTACACCATGTCGTTGATCATTTACTGCCTGGCCTTTGTTCTCGGTGTGCTCGGGAATGGAGTGGTTATCTGGATGACTGGGTTCAAGATGAAGAAAACAGTTAACACTGTTTGGTTCCTCAACCTTGCTGTGGCCGACTTCCTCTTCACAGCATTCCTGCCCCTGAGTGTGACATACCTGGCTTTGAAGTTCCACTGGCCTTTCGGCAAGTTCATGTGTAAGCTGAACAGCACTGTAAGCTTACTGAACATCTTTGCCAGTGTCTACATTCTGATGGTGATCAGCGTGGACAGATGTGTGTCTGTGGTGTGGCCCGTCTGGGCGCAGAACCACCGCAGTGTACAGAAGGCGTCTGGTGTGAGTCTGGGTGTTTGGGTACTGGCTCTGATTCTTAGCGCTCCATACTTCATCTTCAGGGACACTACGCCATCACATAACAATGTCAACATCATCAACTGCTTCAACAACTTTGCCTTTTCCAATGATTATGAAACACCGTCTGTGATTCAGCTACGACAGTTTCGACATCAGGCCATGACCATCACCCGCTTTCTCCTGGGATTTGTTGTCCCCTTCACTGTCATTGTCTCCTGTTATGCTGTAATTATCCATCGTATCAGAAGAAACCGCACTCTGGCCAGCCAGTCAAGTCGCCCCTTTAAGATCATCGCTGCTGTTATCACCACTTTTTTCCTGTGCTGGGCTCCCTTTCACATCATGGCTCTTATTGAGATGGTGAGTCTGACGGCTGCTAATGCAAGTGATACTTTAACTCATGTCACCACTATAGGTATCCCTATAGCCACCAGCCTGGCCTTTCTCAACAGTTGCCTGAACCCACTGCTGTATGTGTTCATGGGCCAAGATTTCAAGGATAAAGTCCGTAAATCCATCCTGAATGTGTTCGAGACTGCCTTCCAGGAGGAGGGTACAGGCTCTCACACTGACACAAGGTCAGGGGACACCAGTCTGAGCAAAGGGATGTCAATTCTTAATACTGAGGTATAAGGCTGTCCATGACATGAAGAAAAAAAAATGTGAAACTGCACATAGAAAATGTAACTGTATGTAACAAATAGCTTTTATGTTAGCTTTTGTTAGGGTTTGTTTTCAAGGACCCTAATGGTGATCTGTATACATCATCTCACTGTACCCATAATGCGGCTATAGGTGATTGTAAAACGGAATTTCCTGGACAAAATATTGCATCAGTCATTTTAAAATAGGCATTGCATTTTATGGTTAAGTCTGTGTAACACAAGCAACAAAGAAAGAAGAAATAAGGACTGGTTAACAAAGGGGAACTTTGTCACACCCACAACAGATTGGGATGACCATTTCCTTGCCTGTATGTGACAGCAAAGGATTCACCCAAACAATACAAATCCCAGTTGTTTATAGGCCATAATTACAGACTTGGCAATTAAAAGGCTGACATATCGGCATCACAAATAACATAGTAACAATGGCAGTGACAAATAACGCATCTATCACTGAAAAAACCTTGATGCCATCAGTCTACATTCTTGCCTTCGACCATGCAAATGGATTCACCTGAGTTTTGACTGCTTGTTTGATAAACATTTATACTTGTATTTGTTGTAGGGAAAGGCTAAAGCTATTAGTGTTATGTTTGTAATGTAGCAGCTGTTCAGTTTACTTGGCTTAGGTGTCTATCATTTTTTAACCTTCAGACATGTAAGACTGTGGGCATAAATATTGTAACATGAACCTGTCTATGAAAGCTTTATTGTGATGTATATGATTTTATTTTTATTTGCATTATAAATGATGATGATTATGATGATGGTGGTTGTCATTGTAGTTTTTATTGCTATCATCAATTTCCATTATTAAAATATTTGAAATTCACTGTTTTCCACCCATAATGTACAACACATAATTACTATATAATTTCACAAAATATTGTGCCTGGAATCTCTTTCCATAGTATCATACACTGATACATAGTAGATACAGAGTATACTTTTTCATGCTGATAGTCTTTCTAATAATTACAGACTTTCTTCATATTAATTGCCCAAAAGAGGAAATTGTAATACATATTTAAGTAAAGCCAGGTTAAAGGGAGTTCTCCATGCAACAGTGTGCTGCAGAATCAGGTGCTTCTCAGTCCAAGGTCAGCTAACTTAAAGAAAAAGTAAATAAAGATGGCAGCATATGGATTGATTTTCTTTTAATAGAGCAAACTGATTTTTTGCAGCACTCTTTGTGCTCTTAAAGGCTTAAAATCATTAGAGTACTCCAGTCTTTGTTTCCCTTCATGAGTTCTTTCCAGTCACCAAAGTGGGTACCTCATTAGTCAGTTCCAATTTTCTCAGTTGGGTAACTTTTATGATATATTTGTTAACTGTATTAGTGAAATAGTTTAAAAAGGATGGGGGGACTCTTGACAACATTTAGAACCTTCAGTGTAATTTCATAATGTAATTATCTGTGTAAAAAGTCTTCTGTCACTGTTAAATTAAAAACAGGAGACATTTGCAACTGACTGAATGTTTCTGCCAAGGCATACTGTCGTGCATTTATTTGATTTGTTTCACTGATAAGTAACAGCTGCTAGTAGTGTTTGGAGGGGGTTGTGCATATTAAACACACAAGCAGTTTTCAAACTAAACAGCAGTTGCACTATATTTCAGAGGAGATCTGATTAGGCAAGAAAATATGCTGGCAGGAAGGGACATATGTAGACAACTTAGACTTTTGAAATTTCCCATTTGATTATGATAACACATAAGAAAATGGGATGGTCTCAAATCAGATCTCTTTTGCTTGCAGGGTTGTATCTAAATATGCAGCACAGACAGTGTGTCCAGTGTGTTTAAGTGGACAGTGGCAAAGAGGGAGTAGCTTGCTATTTTAAAAAAACTGCTTTGGCAACCCTCAAGTACTGACAAATGCTGCAAATATCCTACATATCAGATATCAGTTCAAACTGCAATACAGTTGTTTGGTTGCTTGTTGATTTCTCTTTTGGAGTGTCCCAAAGGACAGAGTCTCTAAGGGAGACATATCATAGCATGAAATTTAGTGCCCGACTAAAAATTAACAGCAAAGCAGCACTTACAGATAAGTCACTATGTCAATACAGATTGCAGGACCATACGTACAGAAAATTCAAGTCACAGAATGTAGGTCTACTGCAACCCCATCCTCACTGATGGACATGCAGAAGTGGTGATTGGAAAGAATACAGCGGTTCCCTGCCCTTGAGAAGAGGGCTAAGACGAGCACATTCTTGGTGGACAACATACACAGGGGTTTAAAGATGAGCCGGAGAGTCCATGCAAAACCGCCACACTTGGAAACCAGGTAATATGTGGAAGGCGTAAATCTGCAGACTCCAATAAGTAGCCTAACACTAGTGAATGGCCCATGGCCCCTTGTGGCAATGGTTATCAATCAATCTGAATAAGAGTGCAAAACAAAGTCTGTAGCCCATACCTCTACCTTCTAAATAAAGGGAGTGGCTCCTGCTTGTTTTTATTGTAACTGCTTCATTAAACAATGAATTTCCAAACAAGGCATAAGATCCTGTATCTTAGTAAACCTTGTAGAATGAGCAGTAGGCTATTTTAAAAGTGAAAATGGACTTCAGTTGGAAGTGCAGACTTGGCTGTTTTGTTTGTTTTCACAGTTCTTTTGCAGAAGCTTGGGGGAACTCTGAGAATGTTAGCTACTGTTTTTATGTGTTATCCTTTAAGTTTAATCTGATGAGGTTGTAGGCTATAGAATTAAATAATACATTAAAGGCATCTAATGTTGATTATATGAATCTTGCAATATCATTACATCCCTTTCCTGTACATGGAGTTATTTTCGTTTTTCATTTTAGAGGGGTCTTCTGTTTGTGATATAGCTTTATGCATAGAGTTGTTAAGAGGAAAACAAAAAATACAGAGCCTTAGTAGACAGGCATTTCCCCCACAGACTGATAATTAGGTTGAACTCTATAAATTCAAGTCACAGCTCTGCATCTTATAGGCCTACTGTATCTTTACGTTACGTAGTTCTAAGTGTGGGTTAAATATTCTAATAAAAAATATTTAGAAAAGCATTACTCTCTTGTATGATAAGTTGTTGAAAAACTAACTTTTATTTTTCATGTTGCCATCATAGGCAGGTCTCAAGACAAGAATGGAAAAATGTATGCAACGTATATACGTGATGGAAGTGTCTCTTTGTATGACTATGAGTATGATCAGCATAACAACCTTGCTGAGCTGAGAAACTCTCGCCACACCATGTCTCTGACTGTTTACTGTCTGGCCTTTGTTCTCGGTGTGCTCGGGAAAGGAGTGGTTATCTGGGTGACCAGGTTAAAGATGAAGAAAATAGTTAACACTGTTCCTCAACCTTGCTGTGGCCGACTTCCTCTTCAAAACGTTCCTGCCCCTGAGTGCAACGTACCTGGCTTTGGATTTCCACTTGCCTATTGGAAAGTTTGTGTGCAAACTGAACAGCACTATGAACTTACTGAACATGTTTGCCAATGTCTACATTCTGATGGTGATCAGCGTGGACAGATGTGTATCCATGGTGTGGCCCATCTGGGCCCAGAACCTTCAAAGTGTACGCAAGGCATTTTGTCTAAGTCTGGGTGTTTGGGTACTGGCGCTGATTCTTAGCACTCCATACTTCATCTTCAGAGATTTTTTGTGATTTTATGATCCACTAAGTGGTTATGTTTAAATCCTACAGAGCAAATGCTACTCTACATCTATGCAGTCCTAGAGTCCTACTTAGAGGATAAGTAAAATGTCATTATCTAGACAAGATAACGCAGTAATACAGTAATTTAAAAAAAATTCTGCAAACCCCAGCAACAAAATATTAAATTTAGTTGACAAGAAAATTTTGGTCTTTTCATCTGCCATTCAGATATACACTACAGATTTTGATAACTTTGTTCCTGCCTGTATGTGAAAGCAAAGGAAAAAAATAGCCCAATTGTTTAAATCCCATAATTGTACCCTACATCCATGAATAAAAAGGCTGGCACACAACCTAAACGAAAGAGTAATAACTATAGTTTGACAAAGAACATTGTGACTGTCTTGCCATAAAACATAGCAGACTCTAAATTACCTTATGGAACAGATTTTATTGAACATAGAAAATACATGTTGGCCTATATATTTTTTCTGAACCACTGCTCAAACACCAAGTTCATTTTTACATTTTGTACCCAACTAGAGTTGCTCAACTTCCCCTCACACCCACTCAACCCAACTTCCCCTACCATCAAGTTGTGAAATTAAATTTGGAAGATCAACAGTAACCATCACTTAGTTGATCCGCAGCAACTTTTGTATTGTAATTTACCCTTTAGGTCTGTATAGTAATTTCCACATGGCAAATCACCCTGAAATGTTTATTTATTATGGTGCACTGTATCTGGATGCTATTGATCCACACTGATCTACAATGTAGCAACACCTCAGAAGCTTTTTTTTTTTTTCTGAATTGTGATTACTGTATATTTAACATATTCTTTTATAAACCTTATCCTGTTTTTCTTAATAAATACACATGGTGGCAGCATTTACTTGGCTTAGTTTGAGCCTTCAGTCCTTGTTTGTTTCGAGTTAAAATAAAGTCATCTGGCTCCAAGGCCTTTTCGAAGCGTGCCCCCTTCCTTTGGAACCTCCTTGTTGGCATTAGAATAAGGGCCTTTAAATCAAAACTTAAAACTCATCTTTTCACCTTTCACCAACTGTTCGGCAGGTCAGTCTCAGTCTCAATTAATCTATTAAGCCTTGTACTTATAGACCTTGTATGTTTCTATTGAATGTCTGTCCATCCTGGGAGAGGAATCCCTCCTGTGTTGCTCTTCCCGAGGTTTCTCCCATTTTCCCCTGTTAAAAGGGGTTATCCAAAGCAACTTACAGTTGCTATACATGCCTCTGGAGCAACTAGGGGTTAAGCATCTTGCTCAGGGACACAACGGTGGATGGGTGACAGTGGGCACCATCACCTCCCCTATGAGGTATATTTGTGATATTGGGCTACATAAATGAAATTGACTTGATGTGACTTTGAGAGATATTCCTTGACCAGCAGAGGGAACTGTTGCACATATTTAAGTATATTCCAGTCAAGTTGTGGGAACCTCTTCAGTCATCTGTGATTATGTACAAATATTTTTCATAGTGTTATCAGTATCTCTTACATCATTGTAATTTAAGCAGCATTTATGAGGAATATGTACATTTTATTAGTGAAATAGTTTGGATTACCTTGGAACTACCTTTTAATGGGGTATGCAAGTTATTCTCTTCTGTTGTTTATTTTATGAGTGTTACAGTGTTTGATTCAGTCTTATAATAAAGACATATTTGTGGAGAAAGTATGTAGTCACTGTCATAAAGTTATCAGCAAAAAAGGTAAAGGTATCAGACGCCATCTGTAATTTCAACATTTCATATAGATGTATCCCCCACTCTGCTGGAGGAACTGTGGGATTACATGTCTTCTGGGACTGTCCTGCATTGCAGGGATACTGTCAAAATATAAAAGGAGAGGTTGAAAGGATATTGAACTCTACCATTCCAATGGATCCTATGTTGTTCCTACTGGGAGTACCTCCTGAAAATGGAACAGGGAAAGACCAGAGATATATACTTCATGTAGCCTACTCATACAGATTGCTAGGAAAATCATAACAGTGAACTTGGAAGAAAGCACCTTCCCCGACAAAAATCCAATGAACTCAGAGTGAAAAAATCTATGTCATGGAGTACTTCACAGCAAAACTACAAATGAAAATGGACACTTTTCTTCAAA